CGTTAAGTTCAAATAAGCTAGGAATGTTAATGCAAAGGTATTAGAAGCTGTTTATGCACATAAATAAGGGGAGAAAATAAGTTACGTGACATTTTTCCCGACTTCATGACTAAAGGTATGAAAAATATACACGTTAATTAAAATATATAATCTTATCTTAACGGAAGCCCACTTAATTGCGCCAACGTGGGCATACTTGTGTGTATTAAAACCAGGTATTGGATGAAAGAGATACAACATTTGGAGTAAAGTAGTCTCTGATCAGTGCATAAATAAATCTGATTAGGACATTCGGTAAACCTTGGTTTCGCAACTTGGTCATATTAGCGGGAAGACCTATAGCAACGCATCTTGTTTGGAGTTCATCGTATGCATGATCATTTTCAAAGTCGGACCTCGGACGTGGTACATTCCAAGACGTGACAATATGTCATTTACCTTCTTGAATTTCAGACATATAAGCTTAGCTAATTGGTGTTATGCTCCAGACTTATTGTTAACTATCAGCCTTAATGGTCCTCCTTCTTTGTGTAACTTTGGTAGCCGGTAGGTTGTTGGTGGTCGTGCATCCTTTTTTATTAGTAAATTTATTGTCCATTCATTGATATCCCCGTTAATGTGCCTATCTTTCAACATGTTCCGTAGAGTTCCATTGATCTTCATAGTTGGGTCGCTCTTTATTAGACGATAGGTAGTCCTGTCTTGCAGAATACATTGTTTTCTGTGCATTACAATTGTCGCTCCTCCTTTATCGGCCTGAAGGACCAATTGTTTATCGGGTTCTTCGAGTCCTCGAAAATCTGTTCTTGTACATTGGTTCATAACGTGTCAAGATTATAGGGATCATTTCCATCTCAATTTCCCGTTTTGTCTGCTGAGGGAACTTGGCGAAGATATGGATGGCCTCAATGAGAATGTCCTCTAGAATATTTTTGCCATTTTGAAGAGAAAAGTTTAGTCCTTTCTTTATGATCGTAGTGGTTTCAGAATCAAGGAGCAGCGGGGCTAAATTCACCAGCTTGTTCTCTTCGTCGTACTGTTCAGTAGATGCCGTCGCCTTGGAAGTCCCTTTAACTGGGCGCACTGGATTTAATATACATTATCTTATAATTCCATTGTTAACCAATTTGGTGTCGTATTTTTTTGCAACTAAGTCAGAGATCCTATGTGATTTCTTGTCAGCCATACCCTGGAGCATGAAAAAATCCCCCGGTATCAGAATCCTGGCTAGATCACGCCGAAGCTTTGACTTAATATCTATAAACTTAAGTAGATTATTCCTTCCCATATCATAGGTTTCATTTAATTTAGGCAAGGAAAAATAATGAAGAATTTCATTAACCCTATCTGATTGGAGGTGTCTATTAAAGTCACGAAATCCAGGGGTATTTCTAGAGTGTTTACAACAGTTTAAAAAGGCAAAATTGCATTATTTACGTAGAAATGTCTTATTTTTTGAATAAGTAAAGTTTCTAGACTACCAGTAAATCGGTTATATGAGATTTATTCACCCAATTTCGTTTAAGGCGATGACAGGTAGTAGTATTTTGCCACAATGATATGAGTAGGACTGAAGTTTCCATTGAATATCGCATGGCCTTGCTTTCCCAAAAGTTGGTCTCTGAAATGTACTCCGCTATATCTGATTTTTAAGTATCCAGTTTCCTGAAAGCCTTTGATGTTCTTTGATTTGTAAGCCTATTTTTCTCCTAGCTTTACTAATATTGAAAGATCAGACATGACGGAACAAATCGCTGAGACTGGACGCAAGATCAATTGCAATGCAGCAGGAGGAAACGCCTCCTCATTCAATGAAAGCACAAATAAACGGAATGATACGAAGGTCATTGACATGCTTGGACAAAAGAAATTAATGAACAAGAGATTGGAAGAAAGCAGAGTCAGTGATACATTTGCCTATTGCGTAATCAAACTCGGAGAAGATAGGGATGCAACAAGACAAGTAAAAGGGAGACGCCAGGATTAGGGATCTATCATAAACCAGAGAAAAAGGGATCGCAAGGAAGAAGAGGCTGAGGAGGTCTCGGAACTAAAGCGAAGACGTTTACATTGAGAGTAGTCAGCTCGAATGGGCAATTACAATTTGGGGGCCCGAAGTTTGAGGTGCCTAGAGAGAGGGATTGGGTCACAGAAATCGGGCATTGTGACCAAATGTGGTGATGAGATGCAGCAGGCGACCAGAGGTAGATGTCCACAGTTTGCTCAAGGTACATGTTTTTAATGAAGGAGTTGATGCGTGAGGAATTCCGCAGGCATAGAATCGGAGCCTATGTGCTCTGAAGATAAACGACTTTGTACGTGCTACTGAATGCTTGAGAAGTAGCACTTGGAATAAAAGTTGGCTGGGTCTGGTACCGAGTGGAATCGGCGAACCAGAAAGATGAGGAAGATGCGGACAGGAGACTAGATCATGATCAGCCACTCGAAGGGAAGGGGAGTACGGCAAAAAGCAGGTGCGATGACGCAACAGCACATCTCTTGTGGAATATAAACATGTCAGCAGTTGTGACAAAACGAGGCAGAGGCT